GTATAATAAATAATATTTACTTTATGGTTCTTGGTTTATTTAGGTACCAAGATCAAATATTTATGTAGTTCCCCCTCGTTGTAGTTTAAGGCCAGGGAATAATGCATTGCCCTCTGTTGCAGCAAAAGTAAAAATAATTCAAGTATTTCTAGTTTATATTTTACAAGTACTTAATTAGTATAATATATTTAGTGTTAAATATGTAACATACAATTATTCTTGCAGGAAAATGTTTTCAAAGCAGCATGTTGTTCGTCATCAAATTTGCCCCCGGATCAAAATCAACCTGAAGGTAATCTAACTAAGAAGCCTAGGCAGAAGAAAACAACCATTTTTTAGGTGCTCCAAAAAATTAAATCAAGACAAAGAGGAAATGCGCCATTTTGACTTTTATTGTATGATATATTGATTGTAGTCGTAGATTTTGCATTTGACTGATTATCCTTTTGTTGGTGGCAAATTTATTTGCTATTTTTTGAATTTGGCTTGTGGCCAGTTATCTTTTTGTTTAAGATGAATATTTTGGCTCGATTATGGATGCAAATATCTTTTTGTTTGACGATGTTGCATATTTTGGCTAATTGGTAATGACACGGGCATATTTGTCCATTACTCTCTTATGGAATTGGTTATGGACGAGTTTAATTTAACTTTAATTATTGTATGTAATGATAAATTATTGTTGCTTATCAATTATATATATGATTTTTGTTTGTGTGTATTCAATTTGTTCAATATTTTATTTTTATTTGTAGAAGTTCAAGAATATATATAATATTTGAAAGAAATAAAATGAAGTCTGACATTTGTTTCCAATTTTATCGAGTAGTTAACATTAACATTAAAATATTATAAATTTATTGATATGCAAATAATTGGAAATAAATATAATTGAAAATTATTGATATGCAAAAAATATGTGCCTCTTTTTAATTTTTTTCCCTAAAAGAGGGACTTTATGCAAATAAATATAAAATATGAAGGTATATTTAATACAAGGTATTTGAAGGTTATTTCGGTCATTTAAGGTTGAAAGTTGTAGAAAAATGGAAGCCAACTTTCGGATCCTTGGCGTGAAAGACACGCACTGACAGATTTTAACAGAAGGGGAGTGTGTGCAAGAAAAAAACAAAACAGAGGGGGATTATATGCAATATAATTAACACAGGGGGATTTGGTGCAGATTTTACAAAACACAGGGGGGTTTTGTGCTCTTTACCCTTCAATTTTGACCCCAATTTTAACCCCAATTCGTATCAATTCCACCCATTATGCTCTAACTTCTTTAATATTACACATTGACCCCGGATTTAAAGAAATATATCACATTAACCCCCAAAACTTTTTTTTTTCAGAAAATAATTTTTTTTTCTGAAATATTTTTTTTCCGGCCAGATTCCGGCGTTGACCGCCGGTCTCCGGTGTTGACTTTATTTATTTATTTATTTTTTCAATTTTTGTTTTCCTGAATTTTTTTTTCCGGCGGTCAACGACCACGGCCGTTGACCACCGGGTCTCCGGCGTTGACTTTTTTTTTTTTTTTTTTTTTTAATAATTTTGTTATTTCTTAAAAAAATATTTTAATTAATTTTACTGTCTTTGCTGCTAAAATACTGTCTCCAGCAGCTATTTAACTATCGGAGACAGTAATTTAACTGTTAATTGACTCTTTTTTCTTTTTTTTTTCTTCAAAAATATTTTAATTAATATTACTGTATTCGTTGCTAAATTACAGTCTCCAACAGTTATTGAACTGTCGGAGACAATAATTAAACTGTTAATTGACTTTTTTATTCTTAAAAAAAATATTTTTAATTAATATTACTGTATTCGTTGCTAAATTACTGTCTCCAGAAGTTATTTAACTGTCGGAGACAGTAATTTAACTGTTAATTGACTTTTTTATTCTTAAAAAAATATTTTTAATTAATATTATTGTATTCGTTGCTAAATTACTGTCTCCAGCAGTTATTTAACTGTCGGAGACAGTAATTTAACTGTTAATTGACTTTTTTATTCTTAAAAAAAAAAATTTATAATTAATATTACTGCATTCGTTGCTAAATTACTGTCTCCAGCAGTTATTTAACTGTCGGAGACAGTAATTTAACTGTTAATTGACTTTTTTTTTTATTTTTTTCCTTAAAAAAAATTATTTTAATTAATATTACTGTCTTGGATGTTAAATTACTGTCTCCAACAGTAATTTAACTGTCTTAGACAATAATATTAATAATATTACTGTTCGGAAAAATAATATTCATAATATTACTGTCCCAAACAGTAATATTACTGTCTGAGACAGTAATTTAGTAGTCAAGACAATAATATTAATTAAAATATTTTTTTTCTAAGAAAAAACAATTCAAAAAAAAAAAATTCAGGAAAAAAAAAATTTCAAAAAAAAAAAAAAAAAAAAAGTCAACGCCGGAGACCGGCGGTTTCCGGCGGTCAAGGCCGGAATCTGGCCGGAAAAAAAAATATTTTAGACTAAAGACATGGGGATGAGCTTAATTGAGAGACTGTTTTTTTTGTGGACTAAAATGCATTTAAGTCCCATGTGATGGGCCTTTTTGCCATTTGCCCATATATTAATGGTTAGAGATGAATAGAAGGTGAGAGAAATGAGTTGAATGAATAAAATATATAGGTTAGTAGTAAGTTCACGGTTCGTTGTACCATAGTAATAAGGGCCACTACACATGGGATTCAAATTGCGTGACAGCCCCTATCATCTCCAATCTCTGTTTTACCGATGATACACTCTTGTTTTACTGATCTACTGAAGAAGACTCCAACACCTTAAAATCGATCCTGGATCAATACTCTAGAGTCTCTGGGCAGGAAATCAACTGTGAGAAGTCTACAATGTGCTTTAGTCCTGCTATTCTCCGTTGATTATGAAAGAATCTATATACAATATGTTGGGCTTTAGGGTGGTAGATCGTCACGAAAAATGCATGGGCAGGCCAGCTTCATTTGGAAAATCGAGAAATGATATTTTCCAATTTCTCAAGGATCGTGTGTGGGTCAAGATTAAGGGGTGGGGTGCAAAATATTTGTCTCAAGCAGGGAAATAAGTTTTGATTAAAGCCGTGCTACAATCAATCCCATCATATATGATGAGTTGCTTCACCTTGTTAGAGTAGGTGACCAACAAGCCACCTTGTGGATGTGGTCTTTTCGTTTATTCTTGTAATAAATAATCATTTTTCGTATTAATGATAAAAACACCTTGTCATGCTATATCGTTGTCCCTTGTACAAACATACATATAGTCCTAATTACAGTTATTACAATAACTTATAATTGATATTTTGCGATCGTGACATATTTACTGAAGTATTATAATTCTTAAACCATGTTCCTAGTCGATGGGTTACGCCACCATCGGCCTTTCCCATTAAGAGACTAGCACTTAGTGTATGTGTACTGTGTATCATCAGTAAACGGTATTGTGATATCGGCATGCATAAGTGGGTGCTCGTAAGTTGACGAGTTCACTGAACTCCCTCATCCTAGAAATCTTTAAGTGGTTCTCAATAATCGAGTAGAGATCTCTATGATATAGTTGTACACAATTAGTCCTTAAGACCTAGACATCACCGTGACTTCACTAGAGGATTCGATCGCTAGAATAGTCTTGGATATAATGTGTGTTCTCATAGTTTGTAATCTTTAAGTCTCTGGCCAGAACTGACTAAGTGATGATTAGGGAATTCTATTCTCTGAGTCATGCACGTACCGATTACAGACTTAGAACGATTGCACAGTTATTGAACTACAAAGGAGGTCTCGATGAACCAATGCCTCTAGTTCAATCGGGACATATGAATCGACGGGATCGTACTGTACACTAACTATATCAAAAGGTTCTTGCAGGCACTTCATTTGTATCTAGGGAATCATGACGCGTAGTTGCTAGACGCCAATCTTGATTCTTTGGGTGATTAAGTTGAAACGAGCTTCATCTTAATTATAACTCTAGGGACGGGTTTAAAACACAAACAGTTGTGGACCCACGGCTAGCTTACACCTAAACCGTCGAGGGTCACACTGCTCGTGCACTCGAGTTCTTTGAATAAACGGTCAAAGATGAAAATGTTTAATCTTTGCATAATTGGAAGTCACTATGATTGAGTCCAACATTCGTAATTTGGAATTATGAATGAAAATAAGAAAAGGAAAGAACTAGACGAACATCTTAGTAAACTTTCTAAATTGGGAAGTTTACAAATTTAGAATGTCCGCTGAATTAGGGTTTCCAATTTTAGAAATTGGAAATCAAGAATTGGCATTCGTAAGGACGAGGACATTTCAATGATTCCGAAAATATAATTTTTATAAGTTTCCAATCATTGAGTTGTAAGAAACGAGCAAAGAAAGACTAACAAACTTAAACTATTGGGCCCGGTCGAACTTAAGCTCATTAGGGCTTTCATACAAGAAACTATAAATATAAGATTTATAGGTCCTGCACAAAACACAATACACAACCCTAATCCTAGCCGCTCACCTCACGTAATTCCTTTTAATTATTCTTCCGTTTTATTCTGACTTTTGCGTGTCTAGTGTCACGTATCAGTTGAATTCGGTATACACGGTGAAATTCGAGAGGAGGAAGACAATGGAGTCGATCTCCCCAAACGCCACCGCAGAACCACCGTCGCACGCGCCCTCACGCGCCGCCGCTGATCCGTGCGCCCGCCGTCGTCGCTTCACCACTGCTTCTCCCGACTGCACGGATTTGATTTTCATGGCAGTTTGCATCAATCCGAAAGTTCGTCTCACGCTTCAAGAGGTAATTTTTGGATCCGTTTTAAATTAGGTTTTAATGTAATTAGATTAAAATAAATTTTGATATTCGCAGTATTATTTTTCTTGAATTACTATATGTGATTGGTTATGTATGAATTCGTGATTTAGTGCGAGCATGCTACATGATTTAATTATATAATGAATTATATGCGTGTTGTAATTTAAATTTCGATGGAAGCATCAAGGTACGCAATTAATTGTTATTATCGAGTACGTAATTATATGATCAAACTCGTATTTCATATAAAATTTTTATTTTTCACTGCGTACACGTGCCTGATTCCCAACACACCTTACCGCATGGCTTGCTCAAGGAGTTGGAGTCGGTGATTAAAAGATTTTGGTGGGGGTAGTACTGGGAAAATGATGGCGTGGACCTCTTGGAAGAAATTATGCACGGTTAGTTCAAAAGGGGGCATGGGTTTTCGGGATTTGAGAACTTTCAACTATGCGCTACTAGCAAAACAAGTGTGGCGAGTTCTAACGCAGCCAGATCTTCTTCTCTCCAGAATTTTCAAGGCTCGATATTTCCCTCACGGTGATATTCTTCGGGCGGTGGTTGGGCAGCGGCCGTCGGCCACATGGAGAAGCTTGATTAAGGCTCGACCATTCCTCCTTGACGGGCTTCGGAGAAGGATAGGAGATGGTGGCAATACTTGCATTTGGGCAGACCCATGGCTTCAAGAAGATGGTAGTTTTAAAATTTTGACAAGAAGATCGATTGCGAAAACCTTTCCGGACAAAGTGTCAGATCTCATTGTTCAAGAAACTTGTTCATGGAATTCTGAGTTGATTGGAGATGTTTTTTGGCCAGTAGATAAGGAAAGAATATTGGCGGTTCCCGTGGGCAGTAGTATTTCGAAGGATCGATGGGTGTGGCACTATTCTTCTTCTGGTAATTTTACGGTCCGCTCGTGCTATCACAACAGTTTAATGCGGTCACACAACTTGAGAGGAGATCGGGCTGGTTTAGATGAATCAAATAGCGGTGAGTCCGTCCATAATTGGAAGCAAATATGGGGTCTCTCTCTTCCTCCAAAAATTCGTAATTTTATTTGGCGTTGATAAGTGGTCGTTTTGAAAGATTTTTGCTTATCAAATCTTCGAGTTTTGGTCTTCGTTCGTCCGAGTTTCGGCTTTATTTGTATATATTATTGCGTTTCTTGTTTTATTTCCTTTTTTAGGTTTTGTTAGCTTTTGTAGCCAAGTCGAAGCCATTTGGAAGCGAAACCGATTTTTCAAGCCGAGAAAGTGATCATTAAGACCCAGATCGCGATCCAGGAAAGTCGGATCGCGATCTGGATGCAAATTCCAGTAGCAAGCAAGATTCAGACCCAGATCGCGATTTAGGAAAGTCGGATCGCGATCTGGTGACAAATTCCAGTAGCATCGTGATTTTGGGGCAGATCGCGATCCGCACTTCCTGGATCGCGATCTGGGATGGCGGTTCACGTTTTTTCGAGAAGCCAGATCGCGATCTGACTTTATTGGATCGCGATCTGGCACGATTTTCGAGGGCAAATATTTTAAAAAGCAAAGCTTCTTGAGGAAGCTTTGCAATTTACTATAAATAGAAGCAAGCCCTCACTCTTCGTTTCTTCTTCGACTTTTTACGGTTTTCGACAGTTCTTCGCGGGAATCATCAATGGGGGTTCCGACTTGGTTTTTTCTTACGAAATTTCTTTACGTTTTTGTTCTTCATTTCTTCCTATGTTTGTTATGAACTAAGAACATTTTCTTCTAGGGCAATGAAGCCTTGTATATATTGATTTCGATCGTCATTTCTCTTATCTATTTGTCGTGTTTTGATTTCGTTTATGTTTTCCTGTATTAAATGCTTCTGATTGTGTTGATCAGCTCTCAGATTGATATTAAATAGGAATGAACTCGAGAGAGGATTTCTTGTTTGAAGTTAGGAAAATATAGCTCGGGGTGTGGAAACGGAGACGTGATGCACTTCGGGTAGCCCTTAAGGACTTGGCCTAAATGCTCTCTTAATAGCAGGTTCTGAACGGAGACGTCGGACCTGTGGGTAGACTCTAACTACACTGGAGACGGGGGTTAGAGTACTTTAGCGTATGGGTTAACGAATAGGAATGTGGCGTTAGATAACGGAGTTGTAGATCGTTGTTGATTATACATAGGTGGATTTGGCCCTAGAAGTCCCCTTTAAATCAAAGTCCCCCCGCGTTGAGTTGTCGTACTTTATTTACGTACATTCCATATTTGCATGTTTACGATCTTGCATGTTTTTAAATTAGGGTTTATCACCAATCCACTTATTTACGATCGGCTAGATAATATAACGATAATATAATTACACTACTCGGCATTTGAATCTACAAGGTCCCTGTGGATCGATATCCGGAACCACTGTTCTGCAAAATGCGATACCGTATACTTGCGGTAATTTATACGTGAGGAAAACGCGTATCAAGTTTTTGGCGCCGTTGCCGGGGACCAATTTGATTTTATCTTTGTTGATAGTGTTACCAATTATCTGAATATTACTTCAGCCATTTACTTGTTTTATTTTCGATTTTTACCTTGATTTTAACCACTCACTTTGTTTATGCCCAGGCGTCGAAATTTGGAAATCATACCTTACGATCCCGAGATTGAAAGGACATTACGTAGACTAAGGGCCACGCGCAACCAACAAAGTGAACCAATGGCCGAAGATCAAGGAAATCCAGAGCACCTGGCCTTTGAGTACGATCGAGAGCCAGGACGAGATCACGAGGAGCCAAGACCGAACCTGCCACCCGAGCGAACAATGCGAGAATACCGAACTCCAGCTGTGAATGAGAACTATTCGGGAATCAGGAAACCGACGATAGCCGCAAACAACTTCGAGCTAAAGACGGGGCTAATCAACATGGTCATGGCGAACCAATTCTCCGGAGCAGCCACTGCAGATCCAAATCTCCATCTTGCCAATTTCTTGGAGATTTGTGACACAATCAAAGTTAACGGTGTTTCTGATGATGCCATCCGGTTGAAGCTATTCTCATTTTCTGTCAGAGATAAAGCGAAGAGTTGGCTTCTGAGTCTTAATCCAGGATCACTCACCTATTGGGAAGAATTATCACAAGCCTTTCTGGCACGATTCTTTCCACCCTCGAAGACCGCACAATTACGAAGAGATGTAGGCAACTTCAGACAGATGAGCCAAGAGCCGATGCACGAGTCTTGGGAGAGATTCAAGGACTTATTACGACAATGCCCTCAACACGGATTCAACCCGTGGGATCAAATGGAGTTATTCTACAATGGGCTCGATCAACCAGCCCGATCTTTAGTCGATGCTGCTTCAGGTGGATCATTGCAAAACAAGACTCCCACAGACGCTCGAGACATTGTCGAGCGAATGTGTGAGAATGCTTACCATTGGCCGTCCGAACGGAGTGGTATACAAAAGGTGGCCGGAGTCCACCAACTCGATCCTTTAGCCGCAGTTTCAGCACAATTAGCGATCCTATCAAATCAGGTCGCCCAAATTTCAGTTCGAGGGCCACAGATCGAACGAGTAGCAACAGCAAGTACTTCACAAGCCACAAACGACGATTGGGAGCAGGCACACTTTATGAACCACCGATTCAACAATTTCCGGGGAACCCACAATCAGAAACAAAACCCTACTCATTATCACCCGGGAATTCGGAATCACGAGAACTTCTCCTATGCCAATCCGAAGAATGCTCTACAACCACCTCCCGATCTCAACCATCAAAGAGAGCAACGAGGGCCAACGTATGACGAGCGTCTTCACCGACAAGAACAGGAAATGGAGGGCCTGAAATCAACAATGAAGAACATGGAGAAGCAAATAGGGCAAATCGCCCAATCCATGTCCACAATGGCCAAGGGTGGATTTCCGAGCAATACCGAAGTCAATCCAAAGGAAAGCTGTCAAGCCATAACCACCCGAAGTGGTTTGCAAATGACTGATCCTCCTTATCCGACAGACGAATCACCAAGGCCAGCTGTACAACCGACCCCGGTCGAGCCGGAAATCACCATTTCAGGAAGTAGTACAAAAGAGGCTAGTAAGCCCAATAACATTTCTTTTCCTGATAATCCCCCTCTTATGGTAACTCCTATTCCTTTTCCAGAAAGACAGAAGAAGAAGAAGTTCAAGGATCAATTGAAGAAGTTCATTGAAAAGATCAAGCAGATTCGAATCAACATCCCTTTTGCAGAAGCCTTGGAGGTAATGCCAAACTACACCAAGTTCATGAAGGAAGTCCTATCCAAGAAAATTCGGATCGAAGAAGACATACCAGTGACACTCACGGCAACTTGCAGTGCCATTCTTCAGTCGAATCTACCACCGAAAATGAAAGATCCAGGGAGTTACACTATTCCTTGTATTATTGGAAATTCTACTTTCGATAAAGCTTTATGTGATTTGGGGGCAAGTATTAATTTGATGCCTATGTCTGTGTTTCTAAAACTGGGCTTAGGAAATTTGAACCGCACTCGCATGACTTTACAACTAGCTGATCGTTCATTGAAATATCCCGATGGGATTGTAGAAGATGTGCTAGTTAAAGTAGATAAATTCATTTTGCCTGTTGATTTTGTGGTACTTGAAATGCCTGAAGATGATGAAGCACCAATCATTTTAGGTCGTCCATTCTTAGCCACTGGTAAGGCGATGATTGATATGGAATTAGGATCTTTAATGCTTAGGGTAAATGGGGAAGAAGTTGTTTTTAATTTGACAGATGCATTTAAACACTCTGAGCATGTTGAGCATTGCAGTAGAATATATGTGATCGAGGACTGTGTTTCCTCCTTCTTTGATTTGTATGAATTATGTGATTCTATTGAGCACTGCATTGTTAATTCTATTGATTTACAATATGCCTCCCCTGAAACCCCTATTGAAAACGATGTGCTTGATTGTGTGTTGTTTCTTGAGTGTGCCGAGATTTTAGGTGTAGACGAGGTAGGAATTGTCCCCGAGATACCAGTTAGTGTGAAAACGGCCCCCGTACTGGAATTGAAGCAATTACCGGATTATCTGTGTTATGCTTTTCTTGGAGCAGACAAGACTTATCCGGTGATTATTTCTTCTAGTTTGAGCGAGGCCGAAACAAACACACTGCTGGAGGTCCTTAGAGAATATAGGTCAGCTATAGGTTGGTCTATTGAGGATATTAAGGGAATTAGCCCGTCTATTGTTCAACACAAAATTCTAATGGAAGACGTCTATAAACCGAGAGTCCAACCTCAGAGGCGGTTAAACCCGTCAATGAAGGAGGTAGTCAAAAAAGAAGTCTTAAAACTGTTAGGCGCTAGTATGATTTATGCAATTTCTGACAGTCCGTGGGTCAGTCCGGTACAGGTTGTGCCAAAACGGGGTGGGATGACGGTTATTGTGAATGATAAAAATGAACTTATTCCGTCTAGGACAGTCACTGGGTGGCGTGTGTGTTTCGATTACCGATTATTAAATGCAGCCACTAGAAAATACCATTTCCCCCTTCCCTTTATCGATCAAATGCTAGACAGGCTAGGAGGTTTCGAGTATTACTGTTTTCTTGATGGGTATTCGGGGTACAATCAAATTTCAATCGCCCCGGAAGACCAAGAGAAAACTACTTTTACTTGCCCCTACGGTACTTTTGCATTTCGTAGGATGCCTTTCGGTTTGTGTAATGCGCCTGCTACCTTTCAACGTTGTATGATGTCTATATTTCATGATATGGTAGAAGAGTTTCTTGAGGTGTTTATGGATGATTTTTCTGTGTTTGGATCGTCTTTCGATCATTGTGTGCACAATCTAGAACTTGTTTTGAAAAGATGTACAGAAACGAACCTTGTTTTAAATTGGGAAAAATGTCATTTTATGGTACGTGAAGGTATTGTTCTAGGTCACAAGGTCTCGAAAAAGGGTCTTGAGGTGGATAGGGCAAAAATCGAAACGATTGAAAAATTGCCTCCACCGAAGGATGTCAAGGGGGTTAGAAGTTTTTTGGGGCATGCTGGGTTTTACCGTAGATTTATTAAAGATTTTTCGAAAATAGAAAAACCATTGTGTCATTTGCTTGAGAAGGAAGCCGTCTTTGATTTTGATTCTGCTTGTTTGCAGGCTTTCACGTTTCTCAAGGAGAAGCTAACCCAATCACCGATTATGATTACTCCCAATTGGGAGGAACCATTCGAGATCATGTGCGATGCGAGCGACTATGCTGTAGGTGCAGTATTGGGACAAAGGAGGAACAAAATCTTCAAGGCCATCTACTATTCGAGTCGTACACTTGACCAAGCACAGAAGAACTATTCAACGACCGAAAAGGAAATGCTTGCTGTCGTTTATGCCGTTGACAAGTTCAGACCGTATATTTTGGGGTCTCAGGTGATCATTTACACCGACCACGCAGCTATTCGATACTTGTTCGCAAAGAAGGACGCCAAGCCCCGACTCATCAGATGGGTACTCCTACTCCAGGAGTTCGACTTGGAAATCAGAGACAAAAAGGGGAGCGAGAATGTGGTAGCAGATCATCTTTCCAGACTCATACTAGAAGAAGTTCCAGCCGAAGGAAATATTCAGGAATCCTTCCCAGACGAGAAACTGCTCGCCATTAGTACTCACACTCCGTGGTATGCTGATGTGGCCAACTTCTTGGCCAGTGGAATCATTCCTGACGATCTTTCTTATCATCAAAAGAAAAAATTCCTTCACGACAGTCGTTTCTATCTTTGGGACGAGCCATTGCTTTTCAGAACCGGCCCCGATCGTGTCATCCGAAGATGTGTTCCGGAAACAGAAGTACGTGAGATCCTCACACATTGCCACTCCTCACCTTGTGGCGGGCATCACGGGGAATCTCGCACAGCCGCCAAGGTTCTGCAGTCAGGCTTCTTTTGGCCAACCCTTTTCCGAGATAGTTACGAGTTCGTGAAACGATGTGATCGATGCCAACGAACAGGGAACCTATCCAACAAAAGCCAAATGCCTTTGAACAACATGCAAGAGGTGGAGCTTTTCGATGTTTGGGGCATAGACTTCATGGGACCATTCCCTTCGTCGAACGGGAAGTTATACATTTTGCTTGCCGTGGACTACGTGTCAAAATGGGTCGAAGCGATTGCCACCACTACCAACGATGCTCGTACGGTCCTCAAATTCTTCCACAAGAACATATTCTCAAGGTTTGGGACACCTAGAGCGATCATTAGCGATGAAGGATCTCACTTCTGCAACAAACTGCTCACTAATCTCACGAGCAAGTTGGGGATCCGACACAAAATAGCGCTTGCCTATCATCCGCAAACAAATGGCCTTGCTGAGTTGTCAAACCGAGAAATCAAACAGATTCTGGAGAAGACCGTGAGCACGAACCGAAAAGATTGGGCATTGAAGCTCGATGATGCACTTTGGGCCTATCGAACCGCATTCAAGACACCGATTGGGATGTCTCCGTACAAACTCGTGTATGGGAAAGCGTGCCACCTGCCAGTGGAATTGGAGCACCGAGCTTATTGGGCAGTCAAAAAGCTCAATTTCGATCAAACAGCTACCGGCGATCGTCGATTGCTTCAACTCAACGAGATGGAGGAATTCAGAAATGATGCTTACGAAAATGCCAAGATTTACAAAGAAAAGACGAAAAAGTGGCATGACAAAAGAATTACGAAGCGAGAGTTCCGGGCAGGTGACCAAGTCCTGCTATTCAATTCTCGGCTACGACTATTTCCGGGAAAGCTCAAGTCCCGTTGGTCGGGACCATTCGTAGTCCTGAGCGCAACCCCACAAGGAGTCATCGAAATACGAGGACGAGACAGTCCGTCGTTCAAAGTGAATGGGCAACGAGTTAAGCATTACTACCCGAATGGTGCTCCCGAGGAAGTGGAGCGTGTCGCACTAATTTTCTCCCAATAAATCCAAAAGAAGTCGAGCCGTCGACTGTAAAACAGGCGCTAAATGGGAGGCAACCCATTGTTGCTCATATTCTGTCATTTTCCTTTTGTTCTTGTTTTCGTTTTTTTTTTTTATTTTTTTTTTTATAGCTTTTTCGTGCATTTTTATATTTTAGGGTTCAACATCTCTATCTCACCCATTTAAATTTTTGTTTTGGCAGGTTTTAGGTGTCCCGGATTGCGATCCATGTAAGTCGGATCGCGATCTGGGGTGTTTTTCCAGTAGCCACCAATTTTGGCCCCGGATCGCGATCCAGGTAAGTCGGATCGCGATCTGGGACGTTTTTCCAGAAACTGCGATTTTAAGGGCCGGATCGCGATCCAGGTAAGTCGGATCGCGATCTGGGGCCTTTTTCCAGAAGCTGCAAGGTAAGTCTCCAGATCGCGATCCGGGTATTGTGGATCGCGATCTGGGGTCGAAAAATAGTTCAAAAAAACACAAACCCCCTTCATTTTCTTATTCCCCCTTTTTTCTAATTCCAAACCCTAACCCCTCCCCAACTTCAAAATATTCAATTTCTTTCATAAAAAGCACATCAATCACACACTTGATCATCACAAATTCACGATTTGCACATTTACTCCAAGAATTTGTGGGTGAATCTTCAAGAAAAGGTAAATTTTCAATCTAGTCCTAATTTTTTTTTTCTTCAATTCTTTCGAATTTCCCCAAAATTTCATGTTTTTTCCCCTTGTTTGTTAATTGTGTATGCTAGTACGTGATTTTGTACTAGGTGTTGGGATTCAAAACATGAATTTGCGGGTGAACCAATGTTTAGATATAGGAATTGCCCTATTGTTCTTAATTTCGAAATGAAGGATAAAATAAAAATTTGAATGACTTGGGTTGATTGTTTAGCTACCTATTGTTGTATGTAGTGGTGGATTCTCACTTGGGTGTGGTGATTGATGTAGGAGGGATAGGTACCGGACAACCGGTGGAAATCGAAAGGCTTACCAAGTTGGGCACGCCAAGTGTTCGACAAAATTCCCGAACGAACTTCCAAAAGCTTTCGACCTTCCATCTCGCACAAATTCGAGCGAAATGACGTCGCCGGCCAAGAAACTCTTAAAGACGGGCGAAACCACCAAAAAAGCCCAACCCAAGGAGAAGGCTCCGGCAAAGGGAAAAGCCGCACCGAAGAAAAAGGCAGCTTCTCGAGGCACGGGAAGCCAAGAAGGCACTTCGAGCGCACCACCACCATCTCAGGTGCCGGAAGAGCAACAAACCCCACGCACGGGAAACGTGCAACTTGAGATGGGATCCCGTGCTAATCAACACACCATACTTGACCACGTAGTCCTCGAACCGGGAGATGAGTTTTTGTACGTGAACGTCGAGGCCAAAAGAGAATTCATACGTCGCCATAGCCGACCGTTTGTTCCAGAAAGGGAATTAGATATCTATGGCATGGAAAAAGAATCGATCATAACAAACTTTGATCGTCGAAAATGGAAGTACTTGGCCAAACGACCGGAGGACTACAACGAGAATCTAGTGAGGCTCTTCTATGCCAATGCCGGTTTTCACGCGGGGTCGGTGGTCGTTCTTCGAGACAAAGAGGTGCGCTATGATGCTGCTACAATCAACAAGTTTTTCCACCTACCCGAAGTCCCGACCGAGCCGTTTCAACAACTAAAGATGGCAACGACCTATGAGGAGCTGATTCAGACTCTTTGCCCTAGGGGTTCGAAGTGGCAAAAAGGAGAGCACTGGTTCCGTCGGGGGGAACTTTCAAGGGAAGCGAAGGTATGGATGTACTTCGTCAGTAGCAGGCTCATGCCCACAAAGTCGACGGCCAAGACCTATGCCCCACGTCTTACACTGATGTATGCCATTATGAAGAGGACACCTGTGAATGTGGGCGCGATAATACACGCTGAGATCCGACGATGCTTAGGTGATACCTCTCTAGGTCTCATGTTCCCTTCCCTCATCACTACATTGTGTGATCGTGCAGGGGTCCCCACATACGCTGATGACCGGCTCACCAGGTCACCACAACCTATCTTCCCTTACCACAAGCTCCAGCCAGCGAGTGGACCCCTAGGCGAGGGCGACTCAGACTTACCAGATGCTGGTCCCT